GAGAGGGAAAAGAGAGAAGAGAAAGAGACAGAAACGATCGCATTAGCCGCCCGAGGGGACCGACAAGTTTCTGCGTTCTCCAATGCGAGAAGACTCGCCAGAAGTATGGCGAGGTCGGACCCCGCGGGTCCTTTCTGCCACGGGCACAATGGCGCCGAACCCGTGGGACCGACTGGCACGTTTTTACGAGAGCTTTGATCGATCGAAAAAACCCGCTACCTTCTCGCAAATCTGTAAACAATCGCTCGTAAACTGCTCTCTTTCTCTTTTCTTCGCAAATTATTGTATTTGCCAAAAAAACACGCAATTAAAAATACACGAAAAACATAAATAAAACCAAAGATGTCAAATTGTGACACGTAAATAAAGAAAACAGAAACAAGATCAACTGCAAGAATTGCGGTAAATGCTTTCAGCTTTCTTTCAGCGCGGCTTTTACATCACTCGAGCGCGAAATTGTTTCGATGTTATTACACGAACGAGGAAAATGAGGAAAGAGAGAAGGGGGGGAAAAAAGAGAGTCGAATGCACCTCGGGCGAGAAATGCGAAATCGTTCCTCTCATGATACCGATCAATCATGTAATTTATAATAATGGAACGTCTTCTTATGTAATTAACCGTCCGCGCGCGGTGCGCGTGCGTGCGTGTGTGTGTGTGTGTCTGTCTGTCTGTCTGTCTGTCTGTGTAGTTGAGCCAAACGCGGACGGATGATAAAAGATCTATAACTTAACCAGCTAATCGTACGTCTCTTAAGAAAACCACCGTTGATTCGATATCAGTGTCGTACCTCTACATCTAAATTACGATCTCTCTAGAATTAATGAGTGTGACATAAAATAACGTTCGATAGTCAGTGTAACAGCGCGCGTATAATAGCGCCGTTAATTAATTCGAAACTGTAACCTCGGGCAAACGTGGTCGTGTGTCGCGGCCGCGTCTTCTGGTCTTTGCAAAATTCAAATTAGAAATTGCCTATTTGATTCTCGAAGAACTTTTACGCACAATTCGATTGCGCACTTGTCGAACAAATGTGTGGAAAAATAATTTTTGATCTGTCACAGTTATGTTGCGCTTTTATTCTCGATGAGAATTTGTTTATTTCCCGTGTGCGAAAATAAACGAACAACATCTGTATAGACTAAATATAATACATACGTTTATTATACAACCGGTATATACCATCGATCAATTAATTAAGGAGCGACACACGACACGGCCCTCAAGGGGCGCCTGATTAATCGAGCAATCTCGAATATAGCGCAGCTACACCATGTACATGATCTTAAGGGTTAAAACACGTATATTACGTAAGTAACAATTATGTAAGATCGGACGGTAAAGTCCGACACTTCGGGTAATCTAACTAACTGTAATCACGGGTTTGTAAGATAGCTGTCAATCGACGAGAGACGACCGACGTCGATCGTGTCGCAAACAAGGTAAATAATAATCGCGATTCAAGTTTAAAATAATTTCATATCACCCGCGAATAATTTTTTGCGCGCGCAAGGAAAGATCGCACACTTTTGTGCGTTTGTTGACTCTTCGGATAAACGAAGAAAAACACAACAAACTTGAGCAAATTTTCAATCTGCTGACATTGCAATTCAAGATTTCTCTTGCGACATATGTTACATCCCGTATTTAACCTCGACACGATCGGTCGGTCAATGACGCAACGGCATTTTGTATGCAAGCCGCGTTCTCCCCCCTCCCCCCCCTCGGGACTTTTTAAAAGCAAGGATACGTACAGCAAGAATACCGTTCCAGAAAAATTCCAAGCGTTGGAGAAAAAAAAAAAAACAATTATCATCTTCGATAAAACCGTTCGATTCTACGGTGTGTGTGTTGTGTAATCTCTACATGTCGCGATCTATTTCCATAGATGTGTGTGTATGTGTACTTTTTTAAATTGTTTACGAGCGAACGCACTCCTTTAGCTTCGCTTGTTCCGACAAAATCGGAAACGCCGTGCGCGCAAACGTTCCTCGATTCCGCGACGGACGAAACCCATCAAGTATTTTTATGCGCGACGCTTATCGATCACACGGGTTTAGTCGGTGAGACAGAGAGAGAGAGAGAGAGAGAGAGAGAAAGAGAGAGAGACAGACGAGATGGGTTATAGATATCGCGAAGGCAGCCGGAAGTAGGCCGGAAACTATCAAAGTGTAAAGGGAACGGCGATGGAAACACAATCGCACGATTAGAAAGCCGGTTTCGTGTGCATATATATACACGCGCGGAGGACTAGTTAAGATTTCGATCGATAACCCGCCTTTCTGACCCAACTCTCATACGTTGAATAATTAATTCACGATAGAGGCCCTTCTCTGACGAGTATTCCGAGAACGCGCTAGAGCGAACGAGGTAACGACAACGGGGGCTTTTCACAATCTCCCAAGATAGAAATATCGAACGAATTAACGCTAAGAGGCAAAGAAAACTCGAGAAAAAACTTTTTGTGTTCGAATTTCAAGAGAAAGTTTTTCACACACACACACACACACACGTAAACAAACAAACACACAAACACAGCGCATTTCCGCTGACAACGCAAATTTAATTTCAGGCTTGACACGTTGCAAAAATGATTTTTACAACAAATTTGCCGGATAAAAATATGACGCAAAGAAAAACTGTGGACTTACCTACGTGATATCTTGCGTAGTGTCGTTACTTTGGCCGAAGTGGTTTTGGTCGCGTAATGTAATTTTATTTCCAGCATGGCAGGAGGGAACTTCATCTCCGGGAATGTTTTGCTCTTGCTCAACGTGCTACTCGTCTAGTCTTGATAATCTCACCGAAGATGTGCAATCCACTTCTCTGTATTCTCCCCATCTGAGCTTGATGATAGAGCACAACGACATACCTCTCCTCTTTTACTCTCGCGTAAAGCTCTTTGTATATATATATATATATATACATACATATATATATATATATATAATATTATATATTCTAATCTAATGTATTTGCGCGCGCGCGCGCGCGCGAAGAGAGTCGACGGATGAGAAAGTGAGGATATTAATTTCGCAGTCGCGTGAGATCCAGAACGCGCATTTCGCGAGGTGTATCCCTTCGAAAGAGATGTATCTGATCTTCGGTATTCAAACGCACATAGACTCGCCACTTCAAATAGATTCGTAACTTTTTTTTACGGGAAAAATTCAAGCCGCGGACAAAAATTAAATAGTATCAAACACATTGCACATAAAATAAATTTCGCAACACCTCAAGTAATATCCTGAGAAAATCTCCAAAAAATATCCGCAACGTAATAAGATGCGAACATTTCTGAGTTCGGTTTGTTACGTTAGATGTTACATCTCGTAATGCACAATTTACACGTGCAATTTGTTTAATATTTGGATAAATTTCGTAATGTTTTGGTTTGTCGCCAAAGAGATGCGACGGTTCAATCTTGTTTCGAAAGGATATATGCTTGCGATAAACGAGACAGAACAGAGAGTGATACGCCCGTAAAACTGATGAGAGACTCGCATATCAAGTCGCGATTGGCTAATCGCGCCACATGGCGCGGGAAGCGCGAGCAGAGAGACAGAGATTTGGCCTAATCTAATGTCCTCTATCGATGTGTTGTTATGTATCGATTATTTAATCACGTGTCACCGCAGTACACACGTATTTGAGCGTGTATAAAACGCCAAAAGAGACATAACAAATGTACGCATTAAATTTACATCTACGAGATATCTACACGCGCGATGCACAAGCGTATCGTGATCAAAGAGTTCGTATCTTTTTTGTCCCTAAAAAAAATAAAAAAAAAATAAAAAAAAAAAACAGTCACCCTCTCTCGATGTTGTTATGAGATAATAAACTATACGCGTGTACCACGTGACATCGCTAATTACTGTCGTTGATATAATTATTGTCGGCATGAATACGATGTAATTATATTGTCTTTGAATTTAACGAGTCGACTACACACTCTGTGAGACGCGGGGGACCGTGCAACGGTCCACTTTATATACACTTAAACATAAAACACATACTCACACACACACACACACATACACATACACATATATATATACTTAGTGAGAGACGGAAGTTTTCCATCCCGTTAATAAAAAAGATATATAGTAAAGAAGTATAAACACACGAAAATAAATAAATAAAAATAAATAAATATATATATATATATATTGATAAAACCTGAAAAAAATAAAAAGTACGACATATAAATATATCTATATATATGTGTATAATAGTCTATAATTTTTCATATATTGTTGTACGGATTTTTAAGTTTATATTAAAATGTTTTGTGCATTCATAANAAAAAAAAAAAAAAAAAAAAAAAAAAAAACGAAGTACCAAACATCTGTGTGACGTATTTTTTGCTACCCGTCTTTTTTATCCTTACTCATCGTCAAGAGTCCTGTGATCGCCGGCCAAATAAATATCGCGTCACTCGTATTGCGCTTTCTCCGAGATTTCCTCGGAGCTCGTATCATTTCAGAAAATATTCCTTTTTCGATTTTTTTTTTTTTTTTTTTTTTTACAGAATTGGAAGGAAAAGGATGTGATGTGTGTGTGTGGAGAAAAAAGAATATCGTGTTTGAAAACAAGTACACACACACACACACATGAATATATCTCGCTGCAGTTTTTATTAAATTATTCATACATGATGAAGTACGATACAAATGTCATGCGGTGGTAGTAATTGTTAACATTTTTCGTACATATATTGTTTCTAATGTCGATTGGTAACAACAATCGCGAGAACTGTATATCGCGAGACGTTACCAGCGAACATTACTTTCTTCATTTTTCTATTTATATATTCTTCTGTCATCATATAAGTTTATTCACACATATATGTCTAAAAGTAAGTGTACACGTGTACACAAATAATCATTCAAAACGTAGTGTATAAATTTTGATTATAGAGAAATCATTTTTTTTTTTCAAATACAGCAATTTAGGATATACGTATATAATTCGCATTAGCATATAAATTGTTTTTTAATAATTTTATAAAATTACAATTACTAATGTTTTTTTTTTTTTTTTTATCGAGAATTATGTATGTGTGTTGCGGTCACCGTACATTTAACCATCAAGACATCTATGATTTGCATTCATCACTTAATTGTCAATGATCAACTAAGTCTGAGAAAAAAAAAAAAAAATTTTAAACAATCAGACTCAAGCGAATTTATCAAAAAATATATTCTTACCGGATTATTCTTCTCGTTTTTATTGCTTATATAAAATGCTGTGTGTTAAATCTAATAATAAATTGCAAATAAGAGGTGTATAATTAAAACTAACTACGACTAAGATACTGTTAAGAAAAATGGTGACGAAATAAGGAACCGAAGAAACAACGGCCGTGCTAATCGGCTTCGAGAAGCTAAACAACAGGAAAGTGGTAAACGATAATAAAATATACGAGGAGAACTTAATACAATACTATTATATACAAGATGTTTCTCGTAACTGTTATAATCGAGAAAAAACAGCGATTTAATATGAGAAAGAAAATTGAAAATTTCATTTCCGATACGAGAAAAAAATTTCTTCTGACATGACAATTCGAACATAGCTGCAGAAGCGCCTTTAAATTTTAATTAAATTAATTTTAATCAAAATTCAACTTTTATTTGCACTTTTGTGTGAAAAAGAGAGAAAGAGAGAAAGAAAAAAAGACATTAAATACACTTTTTTGCTGATTGTAATCGTCAGTTACGGAACATCCTGCATAAGCAAGTTAATTCATTTTCTATATCATGTATATATACAGGGTGTCCTGCAACTATCGCATTTCCTTTAAACATAGCGGATCTCTAAAGTCAGTAAAAGCAAAATCTCATTCAAACCACATTCTTGTTAACAAAATGAGCGACAATGTTTGTATCCAATACACACTGATCCGATTTGTTAATTACACAAATGCTTATAATTTAAAAAATTGCCGCGTCCTCGACATTTTTGGGGATTTTCCGTTTTTTCGAACTAACTTTAGAAGTCAATCTGCTGCGGAAAGGAAACAAAGTGCGACAGTTGCGCACGCTCGTATATATATTTACACATAGACAATAATAATAATAATAATAATAATAATAATAATAACACACAACTTTATATCTAAATATATCTATATAACGTATCTAAATGGTAAATAAAGTAAAGTCGAGAATTTCCATGTGAGTATAGAGATTTGGGGAAGAGAGGCAAACCCGAATTGATCAACTAAAATAACTTCTAATCGCAGACCACCTCGGGAGAGACTACATACGTATTTTATGAAATCACTATGTATAGAGTCTACATTTCGATATTTACACACACACATACACACACGCGCGCGCTTATGTCCGTTTCTTCCGCAGGTATGTATCAGTAATAAATTGTCTATTACAAATCCCGCATATAGAATTATATACTCGTTTTGTGTGAGATGAAAACACTTTCTTAAAATAACAATATGTATCTCTGAAAAAACGTTTCTCTCTATACACCTCTCTCTGTTCTTCTTCTTCTGCTTCTTCTTCTTCGTTCTCTATATCCGTCTTTTAGTGTTAGTCGCATTCTGAAGCTCGATCTGAGCGCTTGCACAGCAGCAATGTGTTGGTTTGTACGTCTCTAAAGAGACTCATTTGTCGCAGAATTGTGTCCAATCTCAAACCGTTATGCATCTTAACAAAAATTCAAACCGAGGATTTGTTGCTGTTTTGTGTTTTTACACTCTTTGTTGTTGTTTTCTTTTCTTTTTTTTTTTTTAATGGAAACATTTATATCAATATCGTCTCAGGAACATACAATGCAAGCATTAATCTCCGAGTGCAATGCGGAGAAAAAAATCGATGATTTAAAGATATATATATCGTACAGATGTGAAAGATATAGTGTCAAGAAAAAATCTTGCTCCCACCTGACACAATCGCGCCCAGTAAATCGAGCGAATTCAATCGGCGTCCTCGTGATACCTAATGTAATGTATCTTCAAAGCCTTGTTGTTCGGGTATTTGACGTTGCAATGGGGACAGGTGGACCCGATCGCGCCCTTCACCACGTAGGTGTTTAGATTAGTCTCCCGATGGAACATCTTGCTGTCGGCCTCGTACACCGTGTTGTGCACATTGTTGATATGGCTCACAATGGAATCTTTGTTAAAGACGTGGCACTGCTTGCACAGCTTGCAGCTGTATATCATGTAATTGTGAGTCGATTCGTAAGTCTTGTGCGTGACATTGTTGGAGGTCACCTCGTGATTTCTCGGCTGATCAGACACTACGAGAGACGAAATTTTTTTGTGCTTAATCGTAAAGTGTTGTCGTAGATTCGACAGACCGGGGAATTTCTTGTAGCAGACATTACACGAGTACTTGCCGTCCTTGGTCGTGGTCGGTATAAACTCAGGCAAGTGGTCCTTCGACGCTCGCGGCTTGTGCACCGATTGTTTATGTTTGTAGAGCACGCTCATGTTGGGGAATACCTTCTTGCACAAATGACACATGAAGGACTTTTTCTTCTCGCCAACAAAGTCCGTGGAGAATGACGGTAGTCTGCTCGAAGGATTTTCACTGTCGATATCCAATCTCGGAATCTTTGCTCTCGTCTCATCCTCCGAATTGATCGAGATCTTACGGCCTTTATGCACCGGTTGCTGCACGCGTTGCTGATTGTGGGACTCGTGCGCGTGGAAGCTAAGCTTGTGTCGTTGCAAAGACTGACTGCTCGAGAAGACCTTTCGACAATACGTGCACATAAACTGGCTGGCCATGGGCTTCCTAGCCAAAGACTGGAACTTCATCGAGGCCACAACAGTAGATTTGTGAAGTCTTTTGTGCTTCCACAGAACTTTCTTCGAACTGTAGTGTTTGCCGCACACGTCGCAAGTGAATGTCTTTCCCACCTCGCTGAGAATGGGATTGGCTTTGTGCCACTGCATGTGGGACGCCAGGGTTTCCCGATCGGGGAAAATGTTGGTGCAAAGCTCACACTGAAGCTCGTTGTTGGTGAAGCTTTTTTCCGTTTTGCTACGAGCGCAATGAACCTCCCACAGATGCGATCTCAGTTCCGCAACGCTGTTGAATTGGTCGTTGCATACCTGACATTCAAAATTAGACGCTTTCGTTAGTGACTGGAGCGGAGGATTGGGGAAGGACTTTCGGGCTCTAGCTGGTCGTTCCGCGTTATCGCTCGATTCGCCGGAATCTTTCGAAGAATTCGGATTGCCCAGTATATGCTGAGTGCTCAGGCGAGAATTGGCGCGATTGTGCCAACCTTTGTGTATCTTCAAGGACGCTTCTTCTTCAAAAACTTTACCGCAGATATTGCAAGCGTAACCATTTTCTGATTTCTCGAGATGAGCGGTACGGAAGTGATAGGCAAAATTCGACTGGAAGACGAAACTCTTAGGACATTGAGGACACTGAAGCATTGTCTTGGTATTCTTGTGTTTCAACTGCATATGCTGATCGTACACCTCTTTACGCGTGAACATTCGCGAGCAGTCGATGCATTCGAAGATAGTTGCGTTCCGATGCGCGATTTTGGCGTGTCTACGGAGATTGGCATAGGTGTTCATGATCTTGCCACACTCGCAACACTTGTGAACTTGCGTGCCAGGATCAGAAACACTGCTGGTGTTTGCCACGTCTTTCTCAATTCTCATATCCTCGTCCAAGTTGCCATATTCGACGCAGGAAATGTTGGCATTCCGTTCGTCCGGATCGTCAATGCCATGATCTTTCATGTGGATTTCCAAAGCGCCGATGCTGCTGAACATGCTGTGACATATGACACAGGAATAGATTTTTACTTTAAGATGAATACTTCGGTGCTTGGACAGTTCGGATCTCGTGGAAAATTCCTGATTGCAAAGAGCGCAAGTGTAGCTCTGAGGATCCGCTTCGTGAGCGTTTCGTTCCTTCAACGGGAACTGGCCCGTGCTCTGCGAAGCCCCGTCGTGCTTCTTCGTGCCGCGATGTTTCTCGTGATGGGTGAGGAAATCGCTGGGCGATCGGAATTTGGAGTTACATACGAAGCACGTGAACTCCTTCTTTTTGTGATCAACCGTGATGTGAGAATGGAATTTTTTAAACACAAGGAAAGTCATAAGGCAGTGTACGCATTTGTATGTCATTCTAGTTTCTGGGTCTAATAGTTTGCAGTATTCTTTATGCTTGAACAAATTGGGTCGGTATCTGTAAATCATGCCGCAGAGATCGCAAATATGATTGTGCGCCGGATCGCCGTTCTTGTAAGGTCCGGATTTCTGCGGCTTATCGGAACTGCTTTTCGCGGATGGCAACGGTGCCATTGGCTTAAGTTTGGGCGGCGATCGCGTTGGCGACATCATTTCCTCGTATTGCTTGTCGGAATGTTTCGACAAGTGACTGAGCAGTTCTTTCCTGCTCTGCAGCGAGCGCAGACACATGTTACACGTGAAATATCGCTCGTGACCGCGCGTTGGCACGACCAGGGCAATCTTCATGGCGCATTCGAAAGACGCGCCGCAATGCGATTGATATAATGGACGATCGGGAAATTCAGTCAAACAGGCAATGCATGTGTGCGGTCTCAAGTCTGGCAGGTGCTGGCGTATGTGGAAAAGCGTACTGCGCCGATCGTTGAACGTCTGATTGCAGCTGTAGCAGGAGAACGTTTTCAATTGACTGATTATCTCCTGTTGAACGGGTGTCAATGGCGACTCCTGCTCCATGCTGGCCAGTTCGTCTTCCAGATCTTCTACCATCTCCTCCTCCTCGTTCTGCGATACTGAGTTTGAATTTGATATATCATTTCTTTCAGAGTGAAATTTCTTCATGTGGTTTACGTATGTTTGTTTAGAATGCAAGAAGATCTTACAGAATGGGCATTTCTGTTTAAAGGTACGCATACCTCTGTAATGAGTATGAGGACCACGTCGCATCTTCTTTTTAGGCGATATGCGGGCGGCATTGGATTTTTGCGTGGAATCAGCTTCCATAACTGTGTCATCTTTTGAGGCCAAAGAATTCATCAACTCTCTGTCGTTCAGAGAGTCTAAGTCTATGCAATCCGCGTCATCGTCGTCTGGCGGCTCGGTTTTAATAGAACATAAAGCTATAGAATCTTTCGGGTCTGCTTTACTTTCATCTTTGTCAGTCTCCTCAACTGTGGATGGAACTGTTTCATCAACTGACTCGCGTACCGAAACAGTTCCATCCACAGTATCTTCCTGTTTATTGTCGTTATTTGTGTCACTATTATCTGTCACTTTCTGCACTTCCTTATTATCCGTTTCTTTACCATCATCTTCTACCATCTGAACATCTGTTGGTGACTGCTAAAAACGAACATTTGTATTGGTGAGAATCTTTCTGTATAAATATTTAATCCCAAAAAGGCTTTGTCGTAACTTTGTGATAAAAAAAATTGTGCTTACTATTTGTTCGGAATTGTTAATGACTTCTGAGATAATTTCTATATTCTCATCGTTATCAACGTCCATTGGTTCATCCTTGATTGTTATAACCTGCAAGTATGTTAAAAAAAAAAAAACATGTCAGTAGATCGTACAAAACTAAATATTATATTTTCTATTATATATTATTCACACATGTGAATATTTATCTACCATGGGATTTGAGTGCTGCTTTGCCAACCATTCTTGCAACTTGTTTTGAGAGCGCAGGCATGACTCTTTATAAGTGTGCCACTGATTGACACTTTTCACACAAGTTTTACATATCAATGTAGATACTTTATCGGTTGCTAATATCTGAAAAATAAAAGCACAATAATCCGCGCGATAAAAAGTTGTCATCAGTTTGAAAACCTTAAGACACGGGTACAGGTAAAAATCAAATCAGTTGAAATATTGCGTTAATTTTTTTTTTTTTATTATTATTTCTTCTTCCGATTTAATTGAAAACAATAAAATACATAAGTCACATTACACGCGTGTAAAAAACAAAAAAACAGAACTTCTACCCAAAATTTGGGTTTACTTCTGCCCAAACTTTTTCATGTGATTATTTGTTCATGTCACAGAGAAGCCACGAATGTGGCGAAATTCATAAACATTTATATAAACGCGCATTCAACAATAAAACTCGCTGTAAACTTATTTCTATGTACAAATGTTTTGATCGTGCGCCTCTTAATGGCAAAAGTCGCAAGTTATATCCGAATTGCGCGCAAGACTCTGCCATTGGCGGCACAAAAACGCGTTCGAAGAAAATTGAGGAAAATATGACGAAACACAGATTCAAGAATTCTTATTAATCTTACATTTATATTTCTCTCTTTCCTTCCGTATATAACCTCGAACAATAATCGGTAACGCGTCACTTACACGGAATCAGGCACATCGCGCTGTGGCATACGCCAATCGTACGTTTGCGGACTGGTTGCGAGAGTTGTATCACAGTGATACACACCCGAGAAGAGATTACGGTGAAAAAAACCACACACCGGATGAAGAAGACGCACTCTTACCTGTATCGACAAACAGTCTTCAATCTTGTCGACCAGTAACACATCAGAATCGTCTTCCTGCTCCTGTGCCGAGAACACCGAGGACCTCGGTTCGTCCGCGGAGAGACAGAGTCTGCAGACATTCTCCACATTTTCAATTTCCACAACGTCCTCGTTCATGGCAAACCGGCGCTCCTGGAAACGCTACCTGGTGTGATGGGACCACCACACGATTCGAACCCCGATCCGATCGTTGTCGCCAATATCGCGCGTCACCACAGACTCAGGTTAGGAACGAAACGTTCTGTTAAACTTAAATAAATACCGCTTTGCAGAGTTAAAGTTTATGTACCGGGCTTGGTTGCTCGCAGTCGCTACTCGTCGGGGAAGAGTTGGATCAGTACGTACGTACGTACGGCGTGCATCTCGATCTCGAGCTTGCCAGAGACAACGCCAGATGGCGCGAGCATGGACGCTACGATCGCATCGGGCCGAAGAAATTGATTCGAGTCTTCGCTAGAAGTGCTGCGATCTTGTGTGATTTATGACGTTATGACGAAGAGAAAGAAAAAGAATTCAAGATGGCTGTGGGGGATTCTATCGAAGATTGATCGTTTTAACGGATCCAAGATCTCATTTTTCTCAAGTACGTATGTTGTATACCTTGACTATATAATATAATCGCGAATTGTTAGTCGGTATCTTCGTATTGTAGCAGAGAATAACATTTGTTATCGCGCCTTCCGTCGCTCAAGCGCGGAAAAATAAAAAACTTCCTTTTGTTAAAAAAACAACTCGGTATCGTCGCAACGCGCGAATCAAAAAACATTGCCGGTGTGCGGCTTCCTCGTTACATTTTCGACCGGTACATGGTTAAATCGCTACCGGAACGACTAATGACGTTAAATTTGACGAATTAATTAGTCATATTGCTCGATTTGCTGAAGCGACGGTCGTTGATCGGTTCGATTCAACGCGTACCGGTCGCCGTCGGGGAGTCTTGTTTCAAAAAAATTAACAATCTTTTATCACTTGTCACTCAGATATCGCACGATGTGAAATGTCTTCCAATTTGCTTCCGTTGAGGAAGGCCTCTTCCGGAACGTTCCCTCACCGCGACGAGACGACGACAACGAGAGGATGCGACGAGACGACGACGAGACAACGACGAGAGGATGCGACGAGATCGAGAAACCGGTGCTTGCGGCCGCTTCCTCAGGCTCTTGTGTGTGCATTCCAAAAGGTAAGAAAACATGCAATCGATATATATGCGCGAGCGAGACCATTTATATTTATCCGATACAACAATATATATGCGACCATCTATAATTAACTATCTGATATTTGCAACTATCTTATCATGTAAAAAAAATATTGCATACGCATATATATATCTCACCTATTTAAAAAAGAGAAAGATAAGAAAGCGTTAAAAAGATCTCGTATATATATATATTGAATTTTATTTTACACATGCTTTCTGTGATATACATCAGATACACAAAGTGTTGTCCTTTGTACGCTGCAGGTTAAGACAGATTGCGCATCATACACACTAAAATTTAACTTACGATACATGTATATATGTATATATATTTTCTTTGATCCTCTCTTGTTCAAAAATCGCAAAAAAACTCCAAATTCTTTCCGTATTTACCGCAACATCATAACTTTTTGGAAACTTTGTTTGTTTGATGTTTTTTTTATCACACACAATTTTACACGTGTTACAAAATAAAAATTTTACAAAACTCCGGAGAGACAATCAATCTGTCGAGGTAACGTTCGTAGAGCTTTATCATTGAACAGTTTATTAAATTCATTGACTTTTTTTTTTTTTTTTTAACGGAGTAATTCTCTCAACTTTGCTTAAAATGCTCACTTGATAACGATCGATAAAATTCGTCAATTTTTCGATTACATAAAGACAACCATTTTTTCTACTGGTCATTTGCATCTACATCAGCGTCTCTAATTTAAAATTTTGAATCGCCGCAACAAACGTACGCGTACATACATATATGTATTTATATATATATATATTTTCTCTATTTGTCGACACTTTTGAAAAATTTTCAAATGTGCGCTGACCCGTTTAAGTAACACACACAGCTCTACAAGTTTCAAAGAGATTTTTCTACGACAATAAATCATCTTCGTCTTTTTCGCGCTGTCACAAAACTATATACTTGGTACGCGAAGTGAGTTTATATTGACATTTTTTTTTTGTTTTTGTTTTTTTTTGTTTTTGTTTGGTCAGGCACCACGAGATAGAGGTGCAACCGCACCGCGCGTCCTATACAACTTGTAACAAGCACATTGTATGCAAATTGAAGGATTACATACGCTTATTTGTGCAAACAGCAACGCGCTAGCGCAACGTAACATTACAGAGCCGAGCGTACGATACATAATCACGACTTGTACGATTATTATCTTAATAATCGTGCTGAGGCAGATTTGACAACTTGTACAAAGTGTGCGGGATATCTGATACAGGATGAGTCTCCCTATAATCGGTTGCGGGGAGATGAGTCTCCTCGAATAAAAATAAATAAAAAGTGTTTTGTTTGGTTTTTGTTTTTTTTGTTTTTGTTTTTGTTTTTTTTTTTGTTTTTTATACTTTATCACTAATCTATCATCAAGATGCTTTCGATAATACAGAGCATCTCGTCTTCCCTCTACAGATATTTCTTTCTAAAGATTATTTATATAAAGCTAAAATATATTTAGAAAAAATAAAAATATCATAAGGACTAATGTGTATATATATATATATTGTGCTTGGTTACACCACCCGTGTCCCGCGTCACCTTGTACGGGAAATTAGAACCATCGAGCTATAGAGACTTTTCTATAGAGGACTTTTCTCTATTTTGAGACTCTCCTTTTTCTCACAAAACTATTAACATTAATTTACAACGTGCGTGAACATTGACACATGTTTATTTATGGTTTTTTTTTCTCTTTTACCGAAAACTCCATGCTGACATATTGTGTGCCACATAAAAAAAAAATTTCTTTTTTAAAAACAGTTTCTCTCTGACCCTGATTTTTCTTAAGAGCGCAATCGGTTCTCTCCCACGTTTACTTTACAACATTTGAGTGTCGATCTTTTTGTTAAATTTAACGCTACTTTTGCTAAGGATTTATGGTCTCTTCTCTCGAAGAAGATAATGCCTCGTGCTTTCTATAATAAATACTTTTAACGCTGTGTTATTTCTTGTGTGTTGTCTGATTCGTTTGACTCGATCTCTCTTTGTATTTCTCTTTATTGTGAACCGACTGTAAAATTGAATAATTGTTTTGCGCGAAACTTGAGTAACCGGTGATTTTGCGCGGGAAATTAAAGGATACACCGTGCGCTTCACGCGGTCGACGCAGTTTTGCCCGCTCATCCTCTCTTACACAATTAGTAGCTTAACGTAAAAAAACAACAAAATCGTCAGTTCAGGTTGTGAGACAGCTTGAATTAAAGCAAGAATTTCGCTGCGATTGTTGACGCACGTAATCCTGAACGTTGAATTTCGTCTCGTCCGGATTGTCACTTTTCCTGGCTTTCAGCTCTCTGAAATTTCACAGATAGAAAACAACGGGTGTGCTTATCAATTTGACCGAATCAATTTGTCTGTCAATCGAGTTTTCGTCAAATCTTGTTTTAAAACTCTGTTAGATTTTTTAACCATACCGAGCAACGGCCAGAAATGCCAGCTCGACATTAAGGCCGGTCTTGGCGGACGTTTCCATGAACGGCACTTTGTATTCCTGCGCTAATCGCTCGCCATCTTCTCGCTTAACGACACGCTCTGTTCCGCAGTCGGACTTGTTACCTGCGGTTCAATAAACACAGCGAAGAGATCAATTTTCTTTTTTCTGTACGCGTGTAATATATATATAGTGTATTTATAATGTATTTATAATTTATCTATAATGTATCTATAATGTATCTATAATGTATTTTTTTTTTAAGTAAAGGTACACAGTGCTTCGAAAATTAACGCGATCCGAATTGCTCGAAAAAATGGTTAAAAGAAAAAAGAGTATTGATGTTATTATTACGTTTGAAAAAAAAAAAAAAAACAATTTAGTGACGTCAAAATCAAATCCATAAGGTGGATAGATTCATCTTATCTCTGTCAAAAAAAAACCATTTGTTTCTGACATTCAACTTCTGCGAGGAGATCAAAAAGTATCCGTTTAATACGGATCCCAAGTGGGAACTAAGAGAGAGAGAAAGAGAGAGAGCTCCATCGACATGAGAGCCATAAATAAGCGCGACGACTCACCCAGCAACATGATGACGACATCCTCGTTCGCGTGTTCCCGGATTTCGCTCAGCCAGGCCCTGATGTTGTCGTAGCTCGTTTTGTTCGTCACGTCGTACAGAAGCAAAAGTGCTGAAATCAGTCGGGAAGATTGCGCTACTTTGCCGACTTAATCTAATCGACTTTACGTCTGATAGTAATAAGTAAACCTTTTGCAAAACAAATTTCGTTCTTTCGTATGAAAGCTGTTTTGTTTTTTTTTAGAATAAAAATATTTGACAATGCAATATATCTCGAAATTGTTAAACAGATCCACGTGAAACAGTTGAATATAAATGTTGCATTAATTTTTAGAGACACTTTTATCAAAAACAAAAGCCATGAGAAAATACCAGTCTACATATTGTTATGAGAAATATTATTAAAAATATTCTCTTATATATTATTCTATATTATTAAAAATATGCTAATATTATTCTACGCGTAACTTATTTTTGCACAAAGAATTGCGCATTTTTCTTGACTCAACCGCATCGCTCGTTTCCCTTTCTGCTTCAAAATTATATTTTTCAACATTTTAACTTTTCCACGTGTGCTTCACACAATCACGTCGCGCGCCCTTGCTCCGAATCGTCTCGATTTCGAATTCAATAGTTGCCACTTCACTTTCCACTGACTTCTATGCTTATTGTCGAATTCACTCAATCTTCGGAGTGATTACTTCCGAAGTTGGTGCAACGAGAGAGAGACAGTTACTCTTGTCGCGCGCGTAACAACTTCACAGATAGATTCTGCCTTGGCAAACAATAAGATGTCCCTTTGGGCAACCTCTTCGTTTGTTTCCTTCTCCGTTTCTCTATTTGAGCGAATCAAGTTTGGCATCTGGCCAAAACTGGCGGAGCAACAAAATCAGGAAACGACTGGAGTTTCGCGGGACGAAGTTACAAATGGTTCATGAATTGTATACAATCGAGTTTACCGTGCGAGAACGATATATATATATATAGAAATATAATAGCAATTTCGCGAATTGATCACTTCTCTCCCGAAGTTTTGAAGAACGCAATCTCTCGCGAAAATGAACGGTCGAGATGAGCAATTAAAACATTTTCTACCTCCAGGGACATACCGATGTAATGTTGCACTTGGAAAAGTTCTTTGGTTGGACCGAGAGCCCTAAAGTCAATCTTCCCTCAAGATCGATTTAGTGCAAATATAAGTTTATCAGAGTGACAAGAGATAGATTTGTTGAAAAGTTACGTGAAAATATTCACCATGAGCGTCTCGATAATAAGCGTGTGTCACGCTTCGAAACCTCTCCTGACCGGCCGTGTCCCATATCTGCAGCTTGATCGGCGTGTCGTCGACGCTCACAACTTTGTTCTGCAAGAAAATGTGAGGAAAACACAAAATAGCAAATTCGTTCGAGATTCTGAGCGCCGGTCATAAATCGCAAAACATCATCCAATATGTGAGCAACGTGTTTCCTTTCGCTTCTTACTTGTTTTTTTTTCTTTTTTTTAATATTTTTGTTGCATTTTGTTAATCATACGTAACGTGAAATGTCTCACCCTAAAGTCAATGCCGACCGTCGTTATATAGTTTCCCGATAGAAAGCGGCCATCGCGAAAGCGCGTCAAGAGACAGGTTTTTCCAACGCCACTGTCTCCGAGTAACATCACCTGCATTGAGCGAGGACTTAGAAAACTAAATCGTTCTGTTTGACTTATTCTAGCTTGCTCGTCTGTTCACGTAACGAAGACTTTGAATTTTTGTTCAATCAGTATTTTTATTATTAAATCAGTACGAGAGACAATCTCCCAAAATCGATAAAAGCTTCGTTTTACTCATAAAAGTTAGAATGTCGCAGTATTTAATTAAAAATCGTACGTATAAAAAAAAAAATAACAAAGATTACATCGAAACAATTTCTCACGTTTCGAAATAGAGAAACAAACAAACCAAGAATAGCTGTAAAAAAAAAAAAAAAAAAAATTAGATTATCACGCAAGTTTATCGGCGAGACGAGACGAGCGAGCGGTCCGAAAAATCGCGGCCCAAGTATCAGGAGGCAAGACAGAACCTTGAACAGGAGATCCGCGTGATCGGGTGGGGTGTGCTGACCGGTCGAGTCGACGCTGTCGCGCGAAGACTGGCGTCTGGTCGGACCCGTGATGTCCTGGGGCCTGGCATACGCGACAGACGTGCTAGCTACGAAGGTGGCGGGGGCCGGCTGGGCCGGACCCCGCTGACCCGTCGTCGACCAATCGGCGCCGGCGGCCGAGCTGGTGGTGCTGGTGGTGCTGCCGCCGCGCGCTCCGTGCCTGCTACGCCTTGACACGTTGCGCAACGTTTCCTCCACGACGCTCATGGACTCCTGTTACCGGGAGCACCAATTTGCTCTTCTTCTTCTCGGCCACTCCTCGTCGTCTCGTCGCGCACGACGTCGCCGTCCTACTCCTTCTGCTTCTCCTTAGGACGACGACGATGACGACACCGAAGCCGAGGTCACTAAAGCCTCTCTCTTTCTCCCCTCAAACTCGAGAGTGCTCACGTTTCGTTTCGTTCTTGAGACGTGCGTGCGTGCGTGCGTGCGTGCGTGAGCACTTCCTTTTCTCTCGCGTTTCTCCTACCGCCTCTCCAACGAGTCTCTTCTTCTCTCTTCTCGCGCCCGGCTCTTCGAGTCTCCTTCGACGTCTCCTCTTCGCGTTACCCGCGAGGACACGCCAACACGGGGGTACGGGATGACCGATCGAGTGAAAGTTGCGCGGCGTCGTCGATTTTTTTTTTCCGCGGAAAGGGGTCCTTTTTTTCTTCAATAGCGGAAGAACCAAGTTCTCTCGAGAAATTTTCGCGCAATTGTGTATCAAAATGATGACTTACGGAACGCACTCACCTAGATTGGTGCAAATGTTGGAAATAATTTATCACCAGCCTTTCTCTCTCTCTCTCTCTCTCTTTCTCTGTTAACGGAAACAAACGCACGGAAACTTCCGCTATTAAAACTAGAGAGTTTGTGCATTATTCTGCCCTCACTTACGCATATACGCGCGATGAAGTCGTTCGAGTTCTCTTTTTTTTTTTTCTTCTTTTTTTCACATTCCGTTAGGTTACGCGTGTTTTAAATAAACTATCGAGCGACGAAAATATTAGCTCTCCTATCTCCTTCGCGATGAAACACACACGCGTCCGTGTGTTCGACATTGGGAGCCAATGTGTGTCGGAGTTATTAATCGGAGGCAATCTTCAGAAACGCGCGTTTTTTTTTTCACGCGCTAGACACACACGTGAAATTGCATTTGTTGCTACACACAACGTTAAAAATGCGCAACGTTACAGCCGTGTGTTTTTAATAAAGCTCGAGTCGCGACTACATCGCGAGCCGCCGCAATTTTGTGAATGCTGAATAGAACTTTTTTTTGTGCGAGTTTAACGAGAGCGCAGCGGACAAAAATAATGTCCTCTCCCTTTGATCCGCGACGCGTAAGCCCTTTGACTCGGAACCGCGTGCGACATATGGGATATTGAAATATTTCCCTTCGTTGACGTTTGACGCGATGTAATACGGCGCGGCCTCGCGGAAACCGTCGCGCTGCCTGCTCGCGGGAACGGCAATTTGTACAGGACGAGAGAGTACAACCGCGCTCAACTGTCCCGAGTGTGTCACGATCGGTTACGTAAACCGCTCGCGAGCCGCTTTAATGAATTCGCGAAATACGCGCGCGCCTGAAGAACGCCAGTTACATTCACCTGCAACGAAAACTTCCTAGAGAGTAGATTGGAATCGATTGTCGAGAGAGAGAGAGAGAGAGAACGCGCGCTCCTCACGCGAATAATCGCTTGGGAGAAGCATCTGATAAATTCCGCGCATGCTACGTGTGCATCTCTCTTCCTCCCTCTCTCGCGAAATTAAACGAGCTTTCTTCCCGTGCTCGCATGTTTCGCGGAAACGGATGTCGAAACTAATTGTATACGCGGTTCTGCAAACGCGAAACGATCTGTCTTGAAGATTTTAGAAAATAGCGCAAAAGTTTGTTAGAACATACACGTTGTTATATAATAAAAAAAATATATATATTTTTTAAAGAGTCGAGACAATATACCGGATGTATGTGCAAAAAAAATACTAGGAAGAAAAACAAACTCGCGAGAACAGCAAGAAATTAATTGCCGTATATGACCAGCAAGAAAAAAATGTGCTAAGCCTGTTGAGATTTTTTTTCGTCGATGAAACAAAAATTCAGTAGATTCGACAAATTTTTCTTTCGTCGGCCGTATAATAGCAAAACTTTTTTTTCCGTGTGTACATTTGTATATTGTTTTTTTTTTTTTTTTTAAACGTGCAAATTAATACACATGGATATTCGAAAATTCAGTCCAAAGATATATTGTGTTGTTACTCTTTCGTGAAAATATATAACACATATATAACACATGTATATATCACGTCGTAATTGATGTTGATCATCTCTCGTGTTGCAACGGAAGAAAAAAGAAATGTGCTCGCGCGCAATATCCCAATTGCACTTTTCTACCGCCGTGTCGCTTCGGAGCGCGGCCGTAAAATGCCAAATGGCTAAAACTCATCGAATGTCCCAATCAGTACTTCATCCGACTCTCTTCTTGCAAATCGATACGCGGAACAAAACACTCAACGATTGGCACTTAAAAGACCTGTCAATTTTTCGACACACACACACAGTATCAACTAAAAGATTCCAAAATAATGTTGCCATAAAAAATCCATAAAAAAAAAAGGACAAAAATGTTACCGCGCTAGAAAAAATCAATAAGCGCCAATCATTGGCGCGCTAGCTTACAGACTCGGTTTTATTCTATCGGCAATATCGCTCTTCAACGTCGTATCGCACAATCGTTAAATCGCGAAAAATAATTTTTTCCCTCCCGTGAAATATACATCAACTGTCGAGAGTTTCATCAGATATCTGCTTCCTTTTTATTACGGCGGTATATATACAATTCTCTCGCTAATACTTGACTTTTTTTTCATTCGCGGCAATAAAATCGCATCAGGAACGCGTTTTCCTCTACGAAGCTTCGCTCCGGGAATGAGAGCTGAAGAAGAATGTAAAAAAAAAAAAAAAACTTTCATTTCCCCGTTTGCTTGTTGCAAAGCGAGAAAACGCATATTCCGACCGGAATGAAGAATGCTTTACGCGATCGAATACAGTCAGAGAGCATCGCTCGTCAGCTCGTTGCGAAGATACGTGTGCGAGAAAAAAAACGTCGCGCGTCAACACACTCGCAACAGATGAGAGATCGCCGTCTAATTCCCGCGCACCGCACAGTTATCGGATGTAACTGTGGCGCTTGACCGATTCCAATGCATTACGTGTTCTCTCTCTCTCTCTCTCGGTCAGCTGTTTTTCTCGTTTTTCATTTGAACGGCGAAGCTTGAACGGCAAACTAAAACTCGAACCTGATCATTCGGTCATTTCCGACTTCATTGAGTACGAAATAGCACTGAGCAATAGCATTCGTTCGATGTAACTGCGACACGTGTGCTCGCGGTCGTGCAATCGTCGGAAAAAGCTCGCCGGCGATTCCCTTTGCGATTGCATTCGGCGATTTCGCCGGTTCGTTTGCGGCGCGCACTTCGAGCCGACAATTCAAGAGCTATATAAAAGGCTTTATCTTGAATTTACGTGTTTTAAACACGCGTCACGTGTATATCTCAAACGCAGATTAAAGAGGAATAAACATAAAAAAAAAAAAATTCAAATGTCGAATTCGCTGACGTCAACAGCCGTCTCTGAGACGACTTGGACAAGTTCAGAATTTTTTTACGCGTCTCCCGGACTTTTTTCCTACGTGCTCACAGTAAGAATTCATTTTAGTTTTATTTAGTTTTATTAAAAGTAATTAAAAACATATTTTCCAAATCATTATCAAACTTTGGCTCAATTATCAGAAAAAAATTTAGGTTTATTAAATAGAAAAAAATCTTTTGGATGCCGCTGAATTAATGAGAGAGACAATGTTTATACTCTCTAGAATAGAAATATGAGAAGTTTCTCATGTGTAAGACTTTCTCGTTTCAAACGCGGAATCGGAAAAAATTAATTTTCGTACATCGAGGAAGTTTCTTTGATGTCAAAGTCGATCGCGAAAACCGGATCACATTATAGACACGAGGCCCGGCCTACCTACTTTGGGTCCACCCACGCCGACCGAATCAAAACGGCTCTTTGACCTACCGGTTAGACCCGACTAGTGGCGCCCTTTTACATATGTAAGGTTTTTCAAAGAGAGATTTGAGAATCTTCTCTAAAGCTATTAAGTCACTGAGGTTTGAGAATCGAAGCAACGGGGTCAAGTTAAAAGTTACATCGCCAGCAATATAATTAGCTGTTATCGGCGAGAACACGTTTCTTTCAGTCAATCTCGAGAAAATAAAGAAGAGAGAGAGAGAGAGATAGAAACTGAAACGATTGAAGTTTAAGGTCAACTTAGCGAAGAAAGGTCATTTCGCGAGTTGCACATCCGGAAACATCTCTCTCAACACACGCTGCTAATTAACATGATAATTACCGCACTGATTGCGACCACACGACGTTACTGTTGACACATCATAATTTTCCTGTCGTTTAATTTGTTTGTTTTTTTGCGCGCTCCGTAGTTTTGTCTGTAAATATCAGAAAGAACAACCCAAACAATCCGAGACTTGCTTGCGCAACAAGCTTTTTTTTTAATTAAAAATGTTACGCGGAAATTGTTCGCGCGAGAAGATTGAGCAATAATTTTAAGCATCTATATGTAATAAAAAAAAATAATAAAAAAAAAAAACAAAAATCAAAATTTCACACTCAGAATAACTATGACAAATTTGCGCTTTCATCGTACTTGTCGCCTAGGGTAAGTAGACGATATTTCAAGTACTTTAGTAAATGAACATCATCATCATTGTGTGAAATTCTCCTCAACACAGTAAGCGAAAAGTGATTTTCTCTCTCTTCGTGTAAAACAACAACGCACACGCCTCTGTTGGAGAGAGAGAACGACGATGGCGGGGCTCGAACCGACGACCGTCGGCGGCGGGATCTTTCTCCACACATTACTGCCGCCGCACGCTAGCCGTGAGGCTACGAGCGTTACGAGAATCCTTGACTCTCGTTTTTAATATCTTTGCGCGTCTGTCACGGAGAAAGAGCGTTTTAAACGAATATCTGACGCGTCGAGACGTTTGCGCGCTGACAAAAACAAAAACACGTTTGCGAAATGTCAAACAACAAAGATGAAAATAGGACGGCAAGAAATAAATAATTACACGATCGAATTTTTTAAGCGTGTTATTTTGCGATCTTTAACATTTATCGAGTTATCATTCTGTTGTCGCAAAGAGTCGCTTTATGAGCGCGCGCGTTTGTCAGCTGGTGATTTATTTATATTGAGACACACACATACACACACACACACACACATGCATAGGGAAAATGCACGGTTCGTTGATTGAATCTCGATTTGACGCGCTGAAACATCGAAACAACGATCGCGAATTCGGATCTCCGCCGACGAGACGGATAAATATAGATGTGTTTTTATCCGTGCGCGCGCGCGCGCGTGCGTGTGTTTCGCGACTCGTTGCTTCGGGCAAAATTATTCACCGGGTTCTGAAAGCGCGCGTGAATTCTCTTTCGCGAATCACTGGCGCGAATCGACGTCGTCGAGCGAATATCAATCCGGGCGGATGAATGAATATGCATACCATTACGCTGACACGAATCTAATCTTGTAGATAAAGCGGCGCGCAACATATTTCCCCTTTCACAACGCGTGCGTTATTCAACGAACGCCAGAGTCTCTCGTTTTTCGCACAATGCGAATTATTTTCATGTCTTTCTCCTCTTCTCTCATCTCCGTGCGTGCGTTTTTATT